ATTCTCATCTTAACCCAAACAGTATATGTAAAATCAGAGTAATGTAAAAATATATAGTAATGTCTAGAACTTGTTCGCGTTACTTATCATAAAAAGAGGATCGCGAATAACGCGATCATTTTCTAGTCCACGAAATCAATTTGTCCGTAATAAAAGAATCGATAAAAAAATCATTTATTAACTTCTATGATTTTTGATCGACTAAATACATTGTTCATTGTCGTTACAAATAATCTATTAATACAAGCTAATACTCAGCAACTCAATGATTTAAATAGCATGGAGATACAATAGGAATTACGAAACATCTTCATGGTCGTATATGTTTCCTTTGATCGTGACACTCGATAAGCTAGACTATGGATAATTGATAAACGATCGACAATGAAAACTAACGACCTCAATAAAGTATAATTTCTCAAGCATTCCTCGCAGCCTTTCAAATTGGAAGAGATAGCGAATCCTGAATGAATATGTTATAGATAGTTTTCCGCGTTCGATTGGAAAAGGAAATAAAACAGGCGATAGTGAGGTTTTATGAAGAGTTGCTCAACAGAAGCCTTTAGAGGATTTATATCAAACAGATAAAAAAGCTGTCCTTGAAACATAGGGTGAATTGCATGATTCAATCGCCTTGAATGTCTATTGTTAGTGAACCGATTCAAATTTTTGTTATCTCGAACAATTTTATGCGAATAGGATAAACCATTTGCATTTTTATTACTGAATGTCATTTATTTTTTAATATCGTACTTATAATTACTTGGCACAAAACTCAATCACTGTATTAATGTTGTCTGTATATCTATGTGTCCGTACAAATATTTTATTCTATTATCTATTAAGTATCTATTAAAATATTACATTCATGATATAGATTAATAAAATTAAGAAAAAAAGAAAATGAATAAATTTTGTATGATAATATTTGCTATTATAGGAATATTTCCTAATATTGCAATCGAAAAAAATATCAAATGATAAAAATATCTTTGGAATATCAAGGATAAAAAAGAGAATAAAAATAATAATATTAAAAATCATTCATAGAAATAATATATTTAATTTTTTTCAAGTTAATCGAATTGAATGAGCGTAAAAATAACTGTAGGTATTTTTGGATTTTTACAATCGTAATCTGTTGAAATAAGATAAAACAGTTTAAGCGATCGATAGACCTCGAGTGAATGGTCAATCAATGCGAGTTGCTATCATTTACTATTAAATGTACATATAGTTCATTATGCATATATAATTTTCCGATCAAAACGAGAGCGCTTTCTGACGCACTTTCAATAATTCCTTTTACTTATAATCCTGTTACTGAAGGAATTTTATTTATCATATATATATATA